TACGAAGATTGCCGAAGAGCGCAACGTTGCCAGGTCATGAGAAGAATTCAGAAAACACAAGATTCCCACCATGCCCACTTTTCATACATTCCCACGATGCCCAATTCCCACCATGCCCACCTTCTTCGGATTCTCACCATGCCCACCTTTCATGCATTCCCACGATGCCCACAATTCCCACCCTGCCCACCTTCTTTGGATTCCCACCATGATAAAGGTGGGCATGGTGGGAATCGGGTATCGTGGGAATGCATGAAAGGTGGGCATGGTGAAATATGAAGGAGGTGGGCATCGTGGGAATGTATGAAAAGTGAGCATGGTGGGAATCTAAAGAAGGTGGGCATCGTGGGAATGTATGAAAAGTGGGCATGGTGGGAATCCAAAGAAGGTGGGCATGGTGGGAATTGGGCATCGTGAGAATGTACGAAAAGTGGGCGTGGTGGGAATTGGGCATCGTGGGAATGTATGGAAAGTGGGCATGGTGGGAATCTAAAGAAGGAGGACATCGTGGGAATCTAAGGAGGTTGGGCATGGTGGGAATTGGGCATCGTAGGAATGAATGAAAAGTGGGCATGATGGGAATTGGGCATCGTGGGAATATATGAAAAGTGGGCATGGTGAGAATCTTGTGTTTTCTGAATTTTTCTCTTGACCTGGCAACGTTGCGCTCTTCGGCAATTTTCGTAATCGTCGACATGAAGGTGGGCATCATAGGAATTGGGCATCGTGGGAATTGGGCATCGTGGGATGCTCCCGTGCAGATCATTCAATGAAAATGATAACACCTCAAATGTGTTTGCATTCTTTCAATCATGTGCAACGCTATTCTCTTCCAGCGATTCGGATGGAAGGCATCTGTGGATTAAATTGAGATTATAATTATGTTATTGAATTGTTTTCGACAAGTTGAATATTGAAAATATGGTTTGTTAATCTCACATACAATTGGAAACATTTCGAACAAATATAAGGATTTTTTTTCTGAAATTGAACCTACCAATTCTGAAATACAACTTACCATTTCTGAAATTGAATGGACTTTTTCTGAAATTCATCTCACCGATTCTGAAATTGAGTTTACCATTTGTGAAATCGAACTAACCAATTCTGAAATCGAGATTACTTTTTCCGAAATTGAAGTTGAAAAGGTATAGTCCCGGATATGAAAACTATACTAAAAATTAGATATGGTTGGGGTATAAGTTGGTATCTGAAATTTCGCATTTTTGATATCCTATAGATTATCATTTGCCTTTGTAAGACAATTTTGTAAATTCGACAGGTAGGTGAAAAGTATTATGAGACATTCTGAACTCGCTTTCATTCATAGCCACCTACTCATTTGTCCCACAGATCTTATAGTCAATATAAATTTCAGACTATTGGTAAATGTTGAATGATGGTAAAATTAAAAGTTGCGTGGGATGAAACACTGTATAAACATTCGAGAGATGGACAATGTTGAATATCAACTGATAGCCTCAAAACTATCTAAATTTAATGCTGAATCTTGGAATTTCTCATGACTGTTATATACAAGGTGTCCCATGAGTCATGGATCGAAAGAAGTGGAGTGGTAGGGGGGTAATTTTCAATCAAACTAACCGTATATGTGGTTATTGTTGATGATTCAGAAGTTATTAATCTTTTTCCATTTCTATAAAAAGAATTAATTACAATGAAACAATGTCACATTTGTGATTTTTTTCTTTCACAAATTCCATCCACGTGGATGCTCCTTTCCCCAGAAATAATTTCATGACATGTATTACTTCTTATCAATTACCTGAGAAAAAATTCATTTTCCTCGAGTTTTGTCATCAAATGAAATATTCAAGTCGATTTTTAATTGCCGCTGGCATTTTTAAAAACTACCCCACAAAGATAACCGATCATAAGAAAATGTTGCCCATTTAATACAGATTCCGAAATTGTATAACATAGGGGGTAATTCAAAACAGCCTTTTTGTTATGAATTTTTTTATAATGGGTGGCATTTCAGAAAAATTGAATAACTTTTGAACCATCAACGATGGGCTTATATCACCAAAAATTTTTATTTCATAATTCGATAGAACTCACCCAAACTAGCTCACCACCGCAAACCGTTTCTTGCTATGAGCTCCCTACGTTTTATAAAAAAATATTGAAATCCCCGATTTTTCGGCCCTCTGAAAACGAGTCGATGATGTGACGTCAAAACCCTAATACCGAAACAAGACTATTCCAGACAGAGATGAATGATACATGATTTCTGACAGAGTGCGGATTAGCGCGAGATCACAGTTGAGAGAATTAATATATCAATTGCTTCAGTCTCCTTCGGGCCTTTGGTATCTTCTTTTAACTATGGCGAGACGAGGTTTCTACGTCATAAGAGGGTCCGTTTTCAGAAGGTACTATTATTTATGTCCAAAAATAAAACATTCCAGTTAATTTTTCGATGGAATTATGTCGTCAATCATTATTTATGTATAAAAGGGTCATTATAAACATGGTTAAAGTTGAAAGTTCTTTTAAGGTGTATACACGCCCATTTGATAGCAACATATACGGTTAGTTTGATTACAACTGACCCCCCTTACGACCCCACTCATTTCAATACATCACTTATGGGACACCCTGTATTTCCAGAAAGTGCAGAGCATCAATTTCTCAGATATAAAAAAATTACAGGGTGTTCCATTTTGAAAAAACATAATAATAACAGCTCATTTTGAAAATCTGACTGCGCCAGTAGATTCTACGTGAAAAAATGTGTAGAAAGCAGTTTTTACTTTTTAGATGAGTTGAAATATTATATGAGATACATGTTCAATGTCGCCCTGTATCTCATAACCAAAGTGAGTTATGAACATTTTGTTTGCGGTATCTTGAGTTTTACAGAAAAAAGGCTGAAAAAATTTGCGACAAATAGAAAACTTCTGTATTATTGAAAAAAAAAGTGTATCTCTATAAAAAGTTATGCAAGGCTAAAAATCGTGAATGGGCATATCAGAAATCAATGTTTTCAGTCGTGTTCGTCAAAAAATATTGTTTTTGCCCAAGAGTACTGAAGTATCGATTACGACACATGTCACGTGATCTCTGGTATGGCGATAAATTGTTTCAACTTATAACGAACAAAACTCTAGAAAATCGACTTGGGAGTGAACAAGACTCGGATCAAGACGGATATCGAAATTTCATAGATCAATATTCCAAAAATAAAGCAATTTCGGATCTGTATCATACCCAAAACTTTTTCTATTATCTTGATGAGTACCTATAATATAAAACTGAAAAACTTATTTTTATCATTCGAACGAATTAGTCATTCATTAGATTAGCAAACCTGCAATATTTTGTTTCCAAAACTATTTCCATCTAGTCAACAATATTAAATTTTATTGCAGTTTATGTTAAAGGATGTTGAGATAAAATCCACTTTCATCTCTAGTTTCTAGAAACAACAAAATGGAAGAAATTAAAATCAGTTTACCTCCCATCGCAATCTTACCATTGACATAATACAGCTCTCTTCAAAAACTAGTACTATATTATACAGGGTACAAGATTATTTCTGAAATTATATAATTATGATAGGGCAATGAAATTCTGTGCAAGGGCAAAACTTCAATGTTCAATTCATCAAATGTACCTAAAATTAATCCACATTGCCATTCAGGAATCTGACACTGAGTAATATTTATCTAACTTGTTTGAAGGGTTTTTTTGGTTCTTCCAGATGAATCACGAATCAAGTCGATTCAAATCCTGTGGTGGCCGCTAGATGGCATCGTTTGAAAAATAACAGAATTTTCATTTTTTTTGCAAATTCCAAATAGAACCATACATTCATTTTACTCTAATATGAAAGTAGAGCAAACGAGAAGGAAAATGGTGAAAACCGCGAATTAATACCTCTTGAGGAACCGGTGAAATACTCGAAATAATATTATGAAAATATTCACCACAGGAATCTAACTTCAATAATCGTAATCGGAAATATGCTGTATTTACGAAATTATGATTTTATTAATTCATTTATTTTGATTTCACAAACTGCTGTTATACCTCACAATAGTGGAGAAGCGAGTGGAGAAGACTCTCAGTAATGAGAAAAGGCAAGTTGGCTTTGAATGAAAGAAACGTCGAAATATATAATTGAAGTTATTTGTCGAAATGCCGATAACGAATGAGGAGGCATTTGACATGCTAACAGTTTGAATTTTAATATTATTCCGAGTATTTCTCCGGTTCTTCAAGAGGTATCAACTCGCGGTTTTCACCATTTTTCTTCTCGTTTACTCAACTTTCATATCATAGCAGAAAAAATACATGGTTGCATTCGAAATTCTCGAAAAAAAATGGCAAATCGGCTGATTTTCCAAACGATGCCATCTAGCGACCACCAAGGGATTCAAATCAACTTGATTCATGATTTATCGGGAAGATCTGAAGAAACCCTTGATAATGAAACAAAGATCGCTCAATTCCGTTACACCAAACTTTAGTAATAAGAGTTTTTCCAGAGTACTATTCATCCTCCCCTCCCTCTTTTATTTAAATAGCTAGCGCAATTTTTTGATCGAAATGATTGGAAATCAACTCGAGAACATGGAAAAAGTGTTTCTGACATGTCTTGATATATCAAATTTTCATAAAAACCCGTTTTTCAAGTTGGCCAATGCAATTATTCCCTCTAGCGGCTGTCCTGGAAACTTGAAAATAATTTCCAGAGATTTTTCTTGGCAACTTTCATCATAAATGTTTTTTTTCCGAAACCTGTGCGGCAAATAGTTTCCGAGATACAGCCGGGCGTCCCTTCTTAGTGGTGCACCCGGTACTATTTCTTTCGATAGTGTATTATGTGTGTATTTCAATTTACCTCTCGGTTGTTTTGTGATCACACCATTGAGCAAATATCTGATACTGTTCTCCTTATACAATGAATTACTAATGAATTACAAGATACTTTTTCTTAATCACAATCGGAAAAGTTGTAATGAAATCCGTAGGACCATCAATGGAATGATATCTGGCAGCAGGCCAAGAACATATCAGTTAATCATCGACGAGACAGACAGAGCAAGGTGCCGAAATCCACCATTGGAAAGACATCATCGAATCAGATAAGATTAGTTTCCTACACGAAGTACCGATCGAGATAAGATTTGGGTCGATTATCTCAAATATCAACTAATATTCAGTAGTGCGTGGGAGGACATGGATAGTTCGAGACTTCGTGTTGTTTTATCAAGCGTCTTAATTTTTGCAGCTTCCACTTCTGTGAGTATTAACTGAAAATTTCACACCAAACATTTTCGATCAATTTGAAGGATGTATTTCGTATCGTTACCATAGCAACTGAACAAATTTCTTTGAAATTGTTTCCTCCTCCTTGGGGGAATTACACTGGATATTTTTCGACGTTTATAGGTTGAATGATATTTACATTCAAATTCAGATCATTTCGAGTTCATTCTATGGGTCAATAAATGAAAACCATTTATCAACAGTTTACCATATAATACAGGGTATGTCACGACGAGCTTACACTATCGTCATATCGAGAATCAGTCAGAAGAAATCCATGAAAATGTGCATGCTTATATTCCAAAATACGATCTCTTCATGTAAAATACTCTCGACAATGTAGTGTTGCCGCTTCTACTAGAAAGTAGTAGCAACATTGATATTTCAAATAGAACACCCTGTATTTCATCGCATTTTTAGATTCTCCCTGAAGAGCTGATTTCATCAATTTATCACACTTGGAAACAATCGAAAATGATTACAGAGATATCATGAGTGTAAAATTGAAGAAAATGTTATGTGATACACTGGTATTAAGTCACTTCAATTATTGTGATTTCATATACGGCCCATGTTTACTTTCATTCGATAAAAATCGTATACAAAATGTCCAAAACTCATGCTGTCGTTTGATCTATGGCATCAGGAAATTGAATCTATTTCTCGAAAATTCAAGGAAACCAAATGGTTGAATATGACTAATCGAAGAAATCATCACCTAGCTACCTTTGTTTTAAAACTGATGAATATGCCACAATCATCCCCTTTAAAAAGCAAGTTAATTCCACGTATCAGACTACACTCAAGGAACATCAGAAAAATAAACAAATTAACTCATGCCTCATCATCGCACTTCCATGTTTCAGAGATCATTTGTATTCAATTCGATTCATCTTTATAACCTTTTACCTGAAGAGTTCAAACTTCTAAATATAAATAAATTCAAATACAAATACAAACAGTTTCTTTTTACTAATCAATGACTACATATTCACCCACGCCCCTGGAGGAACAGCCCAGCTTAAGAAGTATTTCTGCAATTCAGATTGATTTTTTTTGTTTTGTTTCACGATTTCTCATTGTATTGTAACATGTGTATAAGAATATTAAGTATATCCTGTGACCTAATTTGATTGAGTATGAGTAGCTATCAGCTAGACTTCGCCAAAATTAGTGTTGCACAGTAAGAATTTGTATCCACTCCGTTAATAAAGCCGATTTATTATTATTATTATTATTAAATAGTGTTTGCAAAATCGAGACTTTTCAACTTTGGGATTTTTTTGTGTCGAAACTATTTATTATTGGTCAAAACGGCTCGCATGTCCCTATCTCATCTTTTGATTCACTATCCACTGATATTCAATCGGAACAGATACAGGGTGTTTCATGATTCAGAATTCTGAGCACCCGGTATCTGTTCCAATTGAATGTCAGTGAATAGTAAATCAAAAGTTGAGATAGATTTGGTCATTAATGAATAGTTTCGACACAAAAAAATCCTAAAGTTGAAAAATCTCGATTTTGAACACCTTATATCTCTGTAATAATTCCCTAAAGACCCCAAGTATGATGTATCGATGAAATCAGCTCTTGAGGAAGAATCTGAAAATGCAATAAAATACAGGGTATTCTATTCAAAATAACAAAGTTGTTGCTACTTTTTGATAGAAGCGGCAACACTGCATTGCTGAAAATATTTTAAATGAAGAGAGCGTATTCTGAAATATGAGCTTGCATTTTTGTTAGGATTTTTTCCGACTGATTCTCGATATATAGATAGTATAAGCTCGTTGTGACATACCCTGTATACTTGCAAATTCGAAATTTACAAAACAAAAACACATGTTGTTACTATAAGTTAGTTCTTACATTTCATCACAAACAACCATCAACATGTGAATTTTCTTAACGAACACTTCTTTAGCTTCAATCAATATCCAAGAATTTTTTCTCGAACAAGAATATTCAGAAAAAATAGTTTTCAAAATAATCGTATTCTCGAAAAAATTTCCGGAAATAATTGAAGCTCTCTCGATATTACAAGTGAAAACACGAACTTATATTCTACTACTATAACTATATTAGCATACGGTGTGTGCGATTTCAACTCAAAACACCTTCCTAATTTGGAATCTCTTTCCAATTCTCAGAAACATAAATTCGATAACATATGAATAGGGAAAATTAAGACTAGTTGATGTACAAGGTGTCCAAAGAGAACGTACCATGAATTATACATGATGAACAAGAAATCAAAATAGTCTGTTTGAAATCAAATTACCTCTATGAAAAAATGTACCATATTGAGCCGTGAGAGGACGATGGAGAATGATTTTATTCAGATATTCCTGAATATTTCAAAATCCTTGAGAGGTACTAATCTAAAATTCGCAGGGCAATACACGATCATGAATTTGCATGAAATCCATGTCATGTCGGTGCAATGCACTATTTTTTCAGGGAGATCAGGAGCTATTGAAATCCATTATAAAAAATCTAGGGCCGTATTTAAAAAAACGATGATTGAAAATCTGATAACAGCATCTTGTAAAACCGAAAAATTTCAATGAGAATGTGAAATTTGTTCTGTTACATTCATTTGGATGAAATCAGACAAAAATAGAAATGAAACCGCGAATATTTGGTTTTTTCCAAAAATTTTCGGAAGTATTCGAAATTTTTTCAAATTTTTGTTTGGCACGAAATTGCGCAACTTTGTCTCAATTTGATTTATTTATTGATTCATTAAATTCAATTCAATGCATCTACTCGAATTTCACTCACCCGGTTACATAATAGTATATTATGTAACAAGTGTTATAAACGTCCTTTTAGTAAGCGGAGCAGAGCGGAGCGAGTGTTTACTAAACGAGTGTCTAGAAGAGTTACGCGTTACATTCTTTGATTTTTCTACGAACTCCGAAAATTACATTAACATACCTGCAATTCCAGCTAACCTACAAAATAATTCGAAAGGAATGAGAATTGGGAACATAATACATGCAACTGCATGCAACCAGCGAGACACGTATAAGTGATATTGGTTTAGATGTGTCCAGTCCATTGCTTACGAACCTTTGTTTCACGTTCATTATCAAGCTTAGCGCAGAATAAATAAATTGTTCTCAAAGATGGATGCTTCATTTTTACACTCCTTGGAGATATGCAAGTACCAGAACATTCTCTTCGATTTCAATTCGTCTACATTTCGCATATATTTTTAATGAAGAATTCTGATACAAACGAATATTGTTTGAATAATTCTGATACAACATTCGAAAATAACAGTTGACAGTTAATACAATATTGACAGGCCAGACATGTCCCAAATTACTGAAGCTGTGTTTAATGAACTGCGTTGCCATGGTAATGTGTTTATGAAATCGTGTTGCCATGGTAACGTGTTTAATATTTTGAATAAATCACAGATCGACAATCCGTGATTAATCGATCATTTAGCGGGGTACATATGTAACATGTATGGCTGTCGATAACGAAGATACAGGATATTATGTGCAATTGTCATATAACTTTGATGACCAATATTCCAGAAATGATTCATCGTAGTTAGATGAAATTTTGAAGCGACGTCTATTGAAACTATATTGCCTTATGCCGTTTTCAATGTACACGGCACACTTTGACCAGTGACAGAGCAAATGCTTCCTTATCACTTGCAGAAATGCATCAAGAACAAATGAATCAGTTCTCTATGACCACAGGAAAATCCTCATACCGTAATTTTACCAGTCGGTACTATCAACTGGGGAGAAACGAATCGAAATCTGAGTTCAGCGTTGCAACCAAAGTACATGCCTTGAGAGTGTGGAAAAAAATATGATTCGTATATCCTTCCTCTAGAGCTTCCACTTTCATGAAAAATGTTTTGGAAATTTTCAGAGTGTGACCCCCTTCACCCTGAATTTTGCGGAGGGGATCATACCTTTCAAATGTCTGAAAAATCACTTCAAACATGTCAATGGGTGAAGAGGATCAGGGAAATTCATCTTGAAAAGTTATTAATTGATCACCAAAAAAAAACAATTAACAGAAGTTCATGAAAATATAGCTATTCAACGTCTCAAGGTGGTCAAAGAGCTGCGAACTGTTCGGGCGCCCTCTCCTTATACTCAGTCGAACCCTCTTGACAGCCCTCTTCGAATATCACACGTTTTAACTGGGAAGGCCTTCTGGCATAACTTTTTTTCTAAATTTTCCATCAACTATCGGCATATCTTCAATTTACGTCTGAGCCGCTCCACCCTCTAACAAGTGAACTTTTTCCTCATAACTTTTCGAAAATATAACCTGAACGTTATATATCCAGCTCAAACGATTGACAACAGACTTGTTTATGTTAGTTCCACGTGTTTTGTTTGTATGTATTCTATAGATGAATCTCCAGGTGGGTTTTGTCAAACTTGAAAAAACTGACCTAATTCTAAATACAAATTCGATTTTTTTTTTCTAATCACCTGTGGTGTAAACAAACTTGTTGACTGGGTTATATCAATAAGCTATTTGTTGGTAATGATAATTCCTTCTCAGTTCGATCATTTACAGAAACTTCTGCATGCTCACATGAATAAACTATAGGTTCTACCGTTGATTGATATATTACGCTAGCGTAATATATCAATCAACGGTTCTACGATCCTCTCCACCCCAGGGGCGGGGAGTGCATAGGAGCATCGGGGCCAATGTACCCATTGCCAAAACGAAAACTAATTAGGTACGGGCGGATTCAACACTTATAAACATTGCACATTGCTGCTGGACAAGTAGAAAATAGTTATTTATACACCAAGATAGTAAAGAGGGGTGTATAAGGTCCCGTATGTTCAGAGAACATCGTGCGTTCCTAGGGAGGATAGAGACAGGAGGTAGGAATTGGATTTTTTTTGGAACTTCTGGAGATTGAATGTTGCTGGGAATACTTCCTCAGGAAATGAATTCTAGAGCCTAGATGT